GTCAAAGATTTGGAGAAATTTCGGATCTCACATAGGTGCTTGACGGTAGACAACATCTTTGCGGTCACCTATGATCACTCAGAAAGCTTGCTGCTGGTTTAACCTGTTCCAGGCTTTGCTGTGAGATTGCGTCTGAGACACGTGAAATGGCCTTGGTGGCACTTGGGTTTCATCTGGACCCAGTACTGCCTCGAAGTACTGCCACAGTATCCTCTGCGCCGTGATATCTCCTGTAGTGTGTTCGCGGTGTTTGCCCGCCCATAGTCGTCCATCTAGGTCAATTCTTGGGTGCCTATAACGATTGATTTGCTGAACAGGAGGACCAAAAAAAAACACTCTCTATTTTGCCTCCGACTAGGTTCGTCAAAGTTGCTCGACGGAAATCCCAAAATCGACCTTGGGCAGAACTTTCCCACGACGACAGGCTCTCACGAATCGTTTCACGCCCATCTTACTCTGATGAGAATTCTACGGCATGCTCCTGGGTTCGCCAACCTGTTCTTCAATGTCCGCCGTTACTTTCCACTTCTGGGCACTAGTAACCCATGGGGCGCCGATGTTAGGCGCGTGTCAGGTCATTCCTGTGTGGACGCGCCCTCGGTTCGCAGATATGGAAGTATTACTGTGGTTCTTTACCTCATTCCTATGACCAAATTGTCCATTCCATAGCGGCCCTCCGCCAGAAATTGCCTGTTAGGGTGAATTCTTCCGCTAGCATCAGCCGTTGCTTCACTTCGGATCCTTTGCATACAGTACGCTCAGCGCAGAGTTCCGCCTCACAGGCAAAAGTATTCTGGAAATCACAGCGTGGAATAAAAGAGATTGGCGATATACCAGCGGCCATTGTCAGTCGCCACATTGAGGAGTCCATAAGACCACTGTTGCCAGCAGGTTTCTATCTAACCAACGTTTTTTCTTCTTACATATGCCAACAGCAACTACACATAACAGCGCAGCCCGTGGGAGACGCCCACTACAACGTTCCTACGACCCTGGGACCAGTTCGTTCCTTGACGAAATACACATATGGGCGCAGCGGGCACATGTCGACCACGTCGGGTGGAGGATTAGCTGTGTCAGGATTGGAGGCGTTGATGAATTCTACGCTGCTCCAATATGTGAGTTAATTCCTTTAGTGTAAAGCTTTCCCAATTTGACCGTACCATACATACAGTTCCCGATGTGCAAGGGTATGAACACACCTGTTGTGTTGGATATGGTCACACTCGAGATCAAGCTCAATATGATGCGGCTAGGCGCTTATTCTGTCACGGTGTCGACGTGCAACACCCAGACGCCCGTGTGCGTTGGAGGTTTCAGTCAACTGGAGGAGGTTGTGCTGCAACGCCAATTGGTAATTGATTAAAGTATTATAACTCGGGATACATCTAATCACAATTTTGCTTGTTAGAGTACCGCCGACCCGCCGAGCTGCAGGACGAGAGATTGGTTGGGATTGGTCACAGTGCACAAGCGGCCAAAGAGGATTCTGCCGGAAGGCTATTCCGTTTTGGATGGTGTGTAAGTGACAATTACCTAGGGTGGTGCGTGCTGCCGTTTCTGACCAAAATCTCTTATCTGGTAGCGTATTTGATTATGGTAATTATACATTGTCTGGCGGCAAACACTTCTTCTCCAAGTAAGGTATCTAAGGTAGGTGTTCTTTATAATCTGCTCGGCCCATACATCTCGTATATACCTGTACTATTAATTAATTAATATCATTGCTCTGGGCTTTGTTGTCATTTTGAGGTTTCGCAACTCGATGAATTAGTTTGTGCCTTAGGGAAACAGGAGTTGACGGTGTTTCAAACGGCGATCTAGGAAGCATCGCATATATCTTAGATATATATACGTACGCTAAGACTGATGGTGAAGAACCCGAGACCCCTCGGGTACTGGTTCTCCAATGCTGCAATTCCGCGATAAGTAAGGTGACACAGATAGAGAAGATGTTTGTCTGGGAACTTGCTCGGCGACTCCCCGTAGAGTTGGCAAAACGGATGCGAGAAATTACACATGAAGCGCACACATTCGATAGTAGGCATATACATACAAATTGAGTATGCCAAAGAGAGATTTTACTGTGGGCGCTCGCTCGACCGTTGGGCGCTTATTGACCCCAAGACTCCTGTCACGTGTGCTCGACAGCTGCACATGGCGGCCACCAGCTTCGACAAGGCAAATAGGAGCGAAAAGGCATATGGAGCGTGTGGAGGCTTGGCATCGGTGCAGACCTTGGTTCTGGATCACAAGTGCACAAACAGCTTCTGCTGCGACCGCGTAGACAAACCGCATGGAGGCCTGCGATACAGCTCATCTATAAATGTACTCAATTCCTCTAATTCTCCTAGACGCCTCTTCCTGTCCCTTACGATGTTCACGGTGCTCGCCATTGGCTCATTTGCTCTCGCCTCGTTCGCTGCGGGGGTTGTTGTTCCCGCTGGTGTGCGGCCTCTGAACGCGGATGCTCGTCTGCTCAAGGTGAGTAGCAGCGCCAATGTTTTATTCTGCGCTCACGTTCCGTTCCTCCTTTATGTAGTTCGGTCCTGGAGATAACCAAGCCGAATGGGTCTCTACCGCTGCGATCGCCCTTCTGCGCGAGTCTCATGCTGTCGACTTGACTAAAGGCACCGATGCCTTGCGCGCCGCCCATCCTGAACTCACTGGTGTGTCTGACGCTATCATCAACCGCCTCGGGAACCACACCCTCCGCGGCCCCGGGTTTCTTGACATCACCGGTATGGAGTTTGTCCGCCGTGAGATTCACTCGGACCTCGAGGCTCGAGCAACCTATCCGACGCCTACGCCGTCCAAGGTGGGCGCTCCTTGAACCATCACTAGAATTTGACTAACTAGAGCTAAAGTATCCGGCACTGACGACCTATTTCAACGCCATTACCGCTTCTGGCCTATCAAGCACCGTTTCAACGCTCTCGGCTTACACCACTCGTTACTACAAGAGCGCCAACGCTGCCGCTGCCTCGACCTGGATTCAAACTCAGTTTTCTAGCGCTGCCGGTTCGGCCAATGTCAAGACCATCGCCAACACGTTCAGCCAGCCGAACGTCATTGCAACAATTCCAGCCAAGTCCGGTTCTACTTTGACTGATGTTATCATTCTTGGTATGTTCGGTCACATTGTTCGCTTGACCCAAAGGTTAATGTTGTTCTAGGTGCACATATTGATTCAACTGTTGGTGGCAGCACTACCGCTCGTGCTCCAGGAGCGGATGATGGTAGCAGCAATGTTTTCAACTACGATGTGCTAAACCTGACATTTTGTTCTAGACGCATCTGGCATTGCCATCCTCCTGCAAACGCTTCAAATCCTCAAATCCAACGGCTGGTCGGGATCTCGCCCTATCGAGTTCCATGCGTATGGTGGCGAAGAGGGCGGTATGCTCGGTAGTGCGACTGTCGCGAAATCGTACAAGTCGGCCGGCAGGTGAGTGAATAATTTACATACCGCCTATCTATTGCACAAGCGCATATATCCTGATTCAACTACTTCTTGCCTCTATGCGGTATATTATTTGTGTACGTCGCATACTAAATCACTTGTTCAATCAGGACCGTTCGTGCCATGCTCCAATTCGACATGGTTGCGTACCAGCCTACGTCTAAGCCAGTCTTGACAGTGCTCACCGATACAGATGCTTCCCTCCAATCGTTCAGCCAAAGTCTCATCTCGGCGTACGTCCCCGAGGCGTCTCTGTACACCAACAAGTGTGGTTATGCCTGCTCCGACCACTGTAAGTAAACTATCACTACGAACGACTGTCGTTCAAGCTGATTCGTTCTCGCCGACAGTCTCTTGGTACAACCAAGGATATGCGTCCGTCTCCATTGACGAGTCCGGCCCTTCAGACACCTACCTTAACCCGTACTACCACACGGCGTCTGACACCATCGACAAGCTCGATTTCACCAAGGCGAGCAAATTCGTCAAGGTTAGTCTTGGATCTCTTCCACATTCCTAGTGGAGCTTGTCACGCCAGTTGAGTGGGGGTGCTTAAAACCCCGCCGGCGCGTTTCCTTGGATAGTGGTAGTGCAGCAACTGACGGCCCTTGCTTGTAGCTGGCTCTTGCCTTTATTCTAGAGCTTTCGGAGTAAGTACGGAATCCGCGGGAGCCAGTGTAGTCTTGACGGGTGTGGGTGGAGTTGTGTACTTAAGAGTCTGAAAATACTACAACCATTTTGTAAAACTGCGCATCGGGATTGATGGATTGGACGCACATCAAATGGGGGGGGGGGGACACACAACTTGTACCAAATCCAGGACTCGCACGATGCACCGGGTGAAAGGAGACAAATCAGCTTGCGAACATATAGTATTACTTACGATTGAAGTATGTATTGAGCGGGATGTATGCATAAAGCAGAATGTGTCCGGAGTGAAGCTAGATAACCAAGGAGGCGTATCGGCGTAGGAAGATCTGAACTAATTTATGGAAACTGTTTGAAGGGGTGGTTGAATCTATTGCGCGGAAAGCTTTGCAGCCTCTGCTGAGTGGCTGGTCCCATCATTATTTCCACTGGCTCTTCAGCTTCAGCTTATACGCCTATTTTTCAGCTGCAGGGTTAACAGTGAGGGATGCGTGGAGGTACGGGGGAAGGTCTAGGTTCGGGCTGTTCAGTCCCCTAGCCGCTTCGTTTACGGCCTTGTTGGCTAGCTCGTGGCCTGGCATCCACATGCGCTGGTACTCACTCGATGGGGATTTTTGGACCTCTTCTGGTTCTATTTATGGTACTGGTGAGTGCAACCAGGGCTAGGATGAGATGCAGCTATTAGCTTTAGGGTGACAATTCGGGTTTGCACTGGTAGTTTCAGTCAGGTTGGATTTCGACGCAGCCCTGGAAGCTCCAAAACATACAACGAACTGCAAACAAAGAGGCATTGTAACACAACGTGTAGCAGTGATTCCGTCGTGCTTAAGTGTCTTAAAAAAGTAGGGTATACCAATGATCATATGCTCAACCAGGGCAAAAGAAATAAGCCTCAGTGGTCTAGTAGTATGATTCGCCCTTCGGGTTAATTCCCGCTTATATTACGTAAGCATTGCATGGGTGAGGTCCTGGGTTCAATTCCCAGCTGGGGCCATTTTTTTGCATGCCTTTGCAGCAGCTTAAGGACCCGCATACAGTCCAGGCTGCAAAAGAAAAGAAATCCGTGAGATACCAACATAAGGCGGACTGCGCCTCATCAGTAAGTACGCTTACCGGTTTCTTGTGATAACACATAATGTGGATATAGTTATAGGCTATCTGTGTACAAATTTGTAGGAGATTCCATAATTTGCTTGGCGAGTAATGGCTGAAATACTGTGGCAGGTGGGTAGAGAGGGAGGGGACGTAGCAAAGTAGTGCTTATATGCGCCAAAATCCTATAACCAAACTCTGTCTATTAATCAAGAACATCAAATTTAAGGTCACTGCAGACAGTACAATGTCTTTTGTTTGACAGAACTCGGCTTGACATTGGCAGAGATAGACAAAATGCTGCCCGGTGGGCTGCATACGCGTCTGTTTGCCACAGTATTTCAGCCATTACTCGCCAATCAAATTATGGAATCCTCTACAAATTTGCATACAGATAACCTATAGCTGTGCCTACATTATATGTTATGACAAGAAGTCGGTAAGCGCGCTTAATGGTGAGCCGAAGCCCGTTTTATGTCGGTACCCCGCGAGTTGCATTTCTTTTGAGGCTTACCACAACTTATAATTCAAGGGCAATTCAGTCCCCACATGTGGTAAGACAACTTCAAGCTCATTAACCAAGTCCTGATATTTATACTGAATGTGGTTCATGAATAGATGAAGAGCCAACTCAGATAGTTCTTTAGGTAGACTAGCTTCCCAGTATTTCTTGGAGTTGTGCCGTATTGCTAGGGAGGTACAATTTTATGTGGTATTTTCATAGTTTCTGCTCTCTCCAAATTCACTTAAATCAGCTGACCATTCACATTCCAATTTAATGGGTTCAATTCCCAGCTTGGCCTTTCTTTTGAAGTTCAATTCCCAGCTGAGGCCAGTTATTTTGAATGTTCCACGACACTTGTTCAAACTAGTTTTGGATCCGTTTTGGCCTCTTTGAACCTGGTAAGATTCCAAATCTAGTGGCCGTGGCCTGATAATGAGAGTGATATATGAACAAGCAAAGTGATCAATCCAAGTACTTTTCTTTCGGGGTGTTGTTTGGAGACACGTGATGAGTCCTCAGCTGCTCAGCAAATACCGGGTTTGCTCCAACTTGATCCGGAGGCGTGCTCCCGGCGCTCCGGAAGAAACGGACCCCCCGGAGCAAATTCGGTTTTTGCTGAGTGGACTCTGCCTCAACGCTGCCCCAACGTGGTTGATATGCTATTGCGCTGTAGGCGCGGCACTGCTCAACTCGGCACGCCAAGACCGATCTCCACAAGCTCACAAATCATCCCTCGGGCTTTCACTACCCGGAGACCGTATCTGTCAGTTCATAACCCGCTGGTGCTACTACCGAGGCCTACATCCCCCCAGCCTCCCCGCGTTTTTAATATCTCTAGGACAATGTCTTCATCTTCCGGTACCAGTGCCGTGAAACCTCAGCTCCAGCGGGTCTTCAACCGAGTCAACGATTCCGATGTCTTCGTTTCACATCCACCAAAGACTGCGGATGCGCAAGGTACAGGCTCAGAAAAAGCCCCATCGTGAGTTATTGTCCCGTAGCCATTTGTGGTATCAGTACTGATTCGTCTATAGAGTAATTCTCATTTTTGGCTGGAGTGCGTAATTCCTACCTTAATCTAACCTGTAATGAACGTATCTCTTAGTGGATGCTCAGCTCCCTCACCTCTACAAGTACACTGAAAAATACCACCAAATGTACCCCTCGGCTGCCCAGATTCTCATTCGGACACATCAAAAGTATTTCTGGAAAGGTGAAGCCGCACAGGTACGTGTATGCGACGTCGAGTGGGCTATCCTGGACTCACATCAACGCTTTTAGAGAGCTGCTATTTCTCCTGCGATGAAGCTTCTTCGTGACTCTGGCATTAGCCCCAACAATGTCGCGGAGTCTTCTGGTCTACTTGTACATACGTTTTCTAATGGTTAGTATTTGTCAACATTCCATACAGCAAGCGTTACTCACATACTTCCCTTTTTCTAGGCGGAGCATTAGCAGAGACGAGCTTGGCAAATTGCCTAGCCGAGTCCGCTTTCCCAGCAGCAGACTCGACGTCTTCCTCTCACTCGGCGCTCCCCGCTCAAGCATTCGTCTACGACTCCCTTCCCGGCGTCCTCTCTCTCGGTATAACAATCACTGCATTCACAGCACCTATCCGCTCTGCCCCCCTCCGTGCAATCGCTCAAGTCGTCTTCGGCACAGCGTACATCGTTGTTACGGCATGGCGATACACCTTTGGTGCCCTGCTCGGCCAAGGTCCAGATAAATTTACTCTCCTTCATAGAGAGCTAAATGATTCAAGGTTAATCCCCCACCATGTACCGAGGACGTACATATATTCGGACGTGGACGAGTTGATTCCGGCGGAAAGCGTGGAAGGACATGCGAAAAAGACAAAGGAGCTTCTGGAGAAAGAGGGGCTAGATTCGGGGTTAGTAAGGTTGGTCAAGTTTGAAGGGGCTTCGCATGTTGCGCATGCACGCAAGGACCCGAAGCGGTATTGGGAGACCGTAGTGCAGACTTGGGAGGCTTCATACCGGAAGTGAGCGAGTGTTTCTGACGCGTCGGGGAGGTTTAATGGGCAGTTGCGTACCTTTACTCCAGTTGGCCGGACTCCCGCTCGACCATCTGAGACTGAAATGAGTGACCTAAACACCGCGTATACGACACGTACGCTCAGTTGAATGGAGTCGAGTAAGAGACGATGAATCCGGGACGGCAGTATATGAATCCGACCCGTTGATCCGAAGCAAGACACGGGCGCGTCGACACGCGTCCTCAAAAGGGAACGCGAATGCCGAAAGGGGCAGGCGCTTAGCACCAAACCGGACATGACCATACACGCCTCACAGTCAACTTCGTACGCGCCCAGATCCTACGGTAATAGGCACTTTCCGCACAGGCGAACTCGGCCTCGGCGATTTACTCAAAGTGCCTAACACACTACACTCATCTTGTAACAATATAGACTTTCGAGACAATGGTTAGGCGATCTTACGAGCGCGCTGGGTGTATCTCCAGAATGGCCATTTCCAAGGCGAAACCAAAGCCTTGCACACTTAAATTCGAAATGGGACGTACATAAAGAGCAGGAGCCCCCGCATATACCTAACTAGATGTGGCCAACACAGCACCAAGAACCGTCAACATTGTAAATTCAAGCCGATGCTAGAATGATAACGAGCCCCCATTGAAAATTAATATTACATGATTTGTACCCGCCCCAAAATAAATAGAATAGCCAAATCTAAGACTTAGTACCCCAGCGACTTCCTCGTCTTGGTTACAAATAAATCTGCAGACTTGGCCTTGCTGACCATCCAGTCGCCCAAGGTGATTCCTCCAAAGAACGGTGCGCTACCACGTCCACCTTTGGGCCCGAGCGTAACCATAATCATCTCAGGTTTGCCGCCATAAGGTGTAGGGTTTGTGCCTTTGATACTTGCGAGGATGTTCTTAGCGACAAGCGGGGCGTGTCCCATTGAGGCCTTGAATACCATCTGAAATGCAAAAGTTAATTTAGTTGAAATCTAAAAATACTGAAAGGGAACCGACCTTTTGTTCAGGCCATTCGATAATATCGCCTATAGCCCAGACATTTTGAGCGTGGGACGCGAGGCGGACGCGGAGCTCGGGGGTGACTTGAATGGTTCCGGCGGCGGTAAGGACGGACGGGTCAAGCGTGCGGACGATTGAAGCTAGTGAATGTGCGTGTCAGTAAGTTGCCAAACGATCCAGCAAACGAGGTTCTTACTATTAGGGCGGCCACCAGTAGCGTTGATCTAAAACCCAAGTAGTCATTAGTATTACACCCAAACCACAGAAACCCAAAAGAACTTACGACTATATCGGCCTGAACCCGTTTGCCACCCTCAGTCGTGACATATCCTCCTTCAGGAACAACGGTGGGCGTGATCTTGTCCCCAAGTATGACTTGCACTCCCTTCTTGGTAACCGCGTTGAAAAGCGCCTTTCGGAACTTGGAGGGGTACGTCTTATTCATGAGTTCCGTGCCACCGTGAACAAGAGTAATATTCTTGTCGGGCAAGAAGGCCCGAAGTTCACCAACATACTCTACAATGACTCATACGTTAGTTCTAGCGGCACGTTTGAAACGTTCGCTATAAACATACCAAGCCCAACAGCGCCTCCACCAATAATCAAGATGTTCTGAGCAGACGCCAGGTTACTCCTGAAAGCCCGAATATGCTCAATGGCCTCCGAACGCGTATCTGGGAGCGCAAGGGCACCATTCCAGATACTTCCCGTCGCGAGTACAAGTTGGTCATATGGGACCGACTCTGATTCGGTCGTGACTTCGGTCCCAGTGATCCCAGTGACGGAAGAGTGAATAACTCGAACAGACGCGTCAAATGCATGGTCGAATGGGATGAGGCCATTTTCTTCGAGTGAGCCTTCCGAGGTAACAGAGGCGCGCTAACAACAAGTTTAAGACATGCGACACAGACACAGGTCTGCGATTTAGAGTACTCACGATAAGAGAGGGCCAGTGGGCATAGTAGTTGCGTTTCTCAACAACCACTGGGCGCAGAGTTAGAGCCTATTCATTTACACCCGAAGTTTCTGAGCAACATACCGATTTGGTGAGTCGCCGAATTCAACTGCTTCTGAAGAGCTTGGATCATTGGAACTCCCCCGCCGCCGCTGTACGGGAAGATTAGTCAACAGCTAAGATATAAATATCGCAGAAACGCCAAGCTACTCACGAGCCAACGACAACAATGTTCTTCCTAGCGGACATTGCTATTAAACCGATTGCTTTGGGTTCTTAAAGTAAAATACTACGAGTTGTAGCAGAGAGCAAGAGACGGGACACAAGGAAGGAAGCCGACAGAAGATAGTGCGTCCGAGTATTGCACGCAAGTCTTTATAGACTCCATCGTGAGCACTAGATGACTGATCCTCTGATGAGGCT